TAAGTAAGGAGACACTGACAAGAGGCACAGAAAAACAAATTAGAACAGATGAACCTAACAGACATCTACAGAACTCTTCACCCAAAAGCAACAGGATACGCATTCTTCTCAGGTACACATGGACATTTCAAGAATAGATCATATACTAGGCCACAAAAAGAGCCTCAGTAAATTCTAAATGATTGAAATAGTATCATCCAGCTCCTCAGACCACAAGGGTATGAAACTAGAAATAAATTACATAAAGAAAACAGAAAAGCTCACAAACACATGGAGACTTAACAACATGCTCTTAAATAACCAATGGATCAATGACCAAATAAAAACAGAGATCAAGCAATATATGTAGACAAATAACAACAATAATTCAACACAGCAAAATCTGTGGGATGCAGCGAAGGCAGTGCTAAGAGGGAAGTATATTGCAATACAGGCCTACCTCAGGAAAGAAGAACAATCCCATATGAACAGTCTAAACTCACAGTTAACAAAACTAGAAACAGAAGAAGAACAAATGAGGCCCAAAGTCAGTAGAAGGAGGGACATAATAAAGATTAGAACAGAAATAAATAAACTTGAGAATCAAACAATAGAAAGAATCAATGAAAGCCGGAGCTGATTCTTCGAGAAAATAAACAAAATAGATAAACCCCTAGCCAGACTTATCAAGAAAAAAAGAGTCTACACACATAAACAGACTCAGAAATAAGAAAGGAAAAAATCACTATGGACACCACAGAAATACAAAGAATTATTAGAGAATACTATGAAAAATTATATGCTAAAAAAACTGGATAACCTAGAAGAAATGGACAAGTTTCTAGAAAAAGACAATATTTCAAGGCTGACCAAGGAAGAAACAGAAAATCTGAACAGACCAATTACCAGCAATGAAGTTAAATTAGTAATCAAAAAACTACCTAAGAACAAAACGGCCAGACCAGATGGCTTCACGGCCATCTAAATTAAAAATTTAGAGAAAACCTAATACCCATCATCCTTAAAGTTTTCCAAAAAGTAGAAGAGGGAATACTTCCAAACTCATTCTGTGAGGCCAGCATCATTCTAACACCAAAACCAGGCAAAGACAACACAAAAAGAGAAAATTACAGACCAATATCCCTGATGAACAGACATGCAAAAATACTCAACAAAATATTGAAACCAAATTCAAAAACACATCAAAAAGATCATCCATCATGAACAAGTAGGATTTATTCCAGGGATGCAAGGATGGTACAATATTTGAAAATCCATCAATGTCATACACCGTATCAACAAAAACGACAAGTCACATGATCATCTCCATAGATGCCAAAAAAGCATTCAACAAAATTCAATATCCATTCATGATAAAAACTCTCAACAAAATGGGTATACCAGGAAATTACCTCAACATAATAGAGGGCATACATGACAAACCCACAGCCAACATCATACTTAAAGGCAAGAAGCTGAAAGCCTTTCCTTTAAGATCGGGAACAGGACAAGGATGCCCACTCTCTCCACTTTTATTCAACATAGTACTGGAGGTCCTGGTAATCAGACATGGCAATCAGACAACACAAACAAATAAAATGCATCCAGATTGGTAAAGAAGTTAAACTGTCAGTGTTTGCAGATGACTTGATGTTGTACATAAAAAACCCTAAACAATCTACTCCCCCAAAGTACTAGATCTAATATCTGAATTCAGCAATGTTGCAAAATACAAAATTAATATACAGAAATCTGTTGCACTCCTATTCACTAATGATGCCCTAACAGAAAGAGAAATTAGGAAAACAATTCCACTCACAATTGCATCAAAAAGAATAAAATACCTAGGAATAACCCTAACCAAGGAAATGAAAGACCTATACACTGGAAAGTACAAGACACTCATGGGAGAAATTAAAGAAGATACCAATAAAATGAAACACATCCTGTGATCATGGATAGGAAGAATTACTATTGTCAAAACGGCCATCCTGCCTAAAGCAATCTACAGATTCAGTGCAATTCCTATCAAAATACCAATAGTATTCTTCAACGAACGAGAGAAAATAATTATAAAATGCATATGGAACCACAAAAGACCCCAAACAGCCAAAGCAATCCTGAGAAGGAAGAATAAAGCTGGCTGGATTACACTTCCCAACTTCAAGCTCTACTACAAAGTCACAGTAATCAAGACAATTTGGTACCGACACAAGAACCGACCCATAGACCAATGGAACAGACTAGAGAGCCCAGATATAAACCCAAGCACATATGGTCAATTAATATACAATAAAGGAGCCTTGGATGTACAATGGGGAAATGACAGCCTCATCAACAACTGGTGTTGGCAAAACAGGACAGCTACATGCAAGTGAATGAAACTGGATTATTGTCTATCCCCATACACAAAAGTAGACTTGAAATGGATCAAAGACCTGAATAGTCATGAAACCATACAACTCTTAGAAGATAACATAGGCAAAAATCTCTTGAATATAAACACAAGCAACTTTTTTCTGAATGCATCTCCTCGAGCAAGGGAAACAAAAGCAAAAATGATCACATGGGACTACCTCAAACTGAAAAGCTTTTGTACAGCAAAGGACACCATCAACAGAACAAAAAGGCATCCTACAGTATGGGAGAATATATTTGTAAACGACATATCCGACAAGGGGTTAACATCCAAAATATATAAAGTACTCACACAACTCAACACCCAAAAAGCAAATAACCGGATTAAAAAATAGGCAGAGTATATGAACAGAGAATTCTCCAAAGAAGAAATTCAGATAGCCAGCAGGCACATGAAAAGATGCTCCACATTGCTAATTATCAGGGAAAAACAAATAAAAACCACAATGAGATATCACCCATACCAGTTAGGATGGCCAGCATGGAAAAGACTAAGAACAACAAATACTGGAGAGGATGTGGAGAAAGGGGAACCCTCCTACACTGCTGGTGGGAATGTAAGCTAATTCAACCATTGTGGAAAGCAATATGGAGGTTCCTCAAAAAACTAAGAATAGTAATAGCATTTGACCCCGGAATTCCACTCCTAAGAATTTACCCAAAGAATATAATTTCTCATATTCAAAAAGACATATGCACCCCTATGTTTATTGCAGCGCTATTTACAAAGCTAAGATGTGGAAGTAACCTAAGGGTCCATCAGTAAATGAATGGATAAACAAGATGTGGTACATATACACAGTGGAATACTCATCCATAAGAAAGAAACAAATTCTACAGTTTGCAACAATATGCATGCATGCTAGAGGATATTATGCTCCGTGAAATAAGTCAGGCGGAGAAAGACAAGTACCAAATGATTTCCCTCATTTGTGAAACATAACAACAAAGCAAAACTGTAGGAACAAAACAGCAGTAGGCTCACAGACTCCAAGAAGGGACTAGTGATTACCAAAGGGGAGTGGGGGAGGGAGAAAGGGATTCAGGGGTATTATGATTGGCACACATGGTGTGGGGAGGGTTTAGGGGGAAGACAGTGTAGCACAGAGAAGGCAAATAGTGACTCTGTGGCATCTTACTACACTGATAGGCAGTAACTTGCAATGGAGTACGGGGCAGACACGCTAACAGGGGTGAATGTAGTAACCACATTGTTTTTTCATGTGAAACCTTCATAAGAGTGTGTATCAATAAAACCTTAATAAAAATAAATAAATATTTTTTAAAAAGTGACAACCAAATTCAACGAGTGATCCTCAACTGGATCCAGGGCCAGAAACAATTCTTCTTGTACTAAATAAGATACTGTTGGGACAGTTGAGGAAATCTGTTTGGATACAGAAGGACTATATATACATTCATTTAGGATATACACAGTATTTAGAGGTGACAAACATCAAGTCTTCAATTTACTCTGAAACAATTTAAAAAAAAAGAAGACAAACTCTGTGTCTGCAGAGAGAATGATAAAGCAAGCATAACAGATATTAACATTTGGGGACTTGTAAGTATGATATACAGGAATTCTTTGTACTATTTTACAACTTTTCTCTAAGTATGAAACTACTTAACAATAAAAAGAAAAACAAACTCAGACACACAATAAATGAAAACAAAGCCAGTTAAGAGAAAGTTTTTATTTTCCCTACAATAATGCTAGGATCACCTCTACCACAATCTACTCAACAGACCATTAAATTTTGGAGCTGTATTATCTCACACCAAAATGTATTTACCTCTCACCAAAACTTCTCAATTTACAGATGAAGACAAAGAAGTTAAATGGCCTGCTCACGATGATAGCTAGTCCAAGGCAGAGCCAAGACTTATTATTCGGCTGACTCAGCTCTTTTTAACTACTGCAAGCTATCTCTTGATAGCTTTGTATTGTCATCTATTCCCTAAACATGTGATGTCAAAATGTTTAGCTCTATCTTCTTATATATCCTAAATAAACTAGTGGAACAAACCACTTTCAATCAAGGCAATCTAAATTTCATTTTTAAAAGGCATTTAGGTATTTCTGCTTCTAACAATCTTTAAGAACTAATATTAATAAATATGTTGAGTTCATAATACATGCCAGATACTGAGATACATTTGTTACCTTAGCACTGCAACAAATGCTAAAAATACAAAATTAACACAGTACCATTAGGTCCATTATGACAGAGACCAAGTCTGTACTATTCATCATGATAGCCCCACCTCTTAGGACAGTGCTCAGCATACAATAAATACTCAAAAAATTGTGTGCTGCTAAATAAAAAGATAATCCATAGTACAGGAAAGAAGTATGTGTACAGATAGTCTGCAGTGTTCACAAAGGGCCATGAGATAACACATATGGAAGCTATTTTTGCTCTGTGTGATCTACAAAAGCTTCAGAAATTAAATGACACTATAGTTAGGCCCTGAAGACAAATAAGATTTCAACAGACATGGAGGCAGTGGGGTGGTAAAAGGAGGGGTGGGGGAGTTCAATAAAACAGCCTTAAGGCAAGAAAATACTGAGCATTTCTACTGAATAAACACAAGTTTACCTATTGTTGCTGCAAGTTCTGGATCAAAAGTATCATCTGTGAACCTCAAGAGCAGGCTGAAAGAGATAAGAAAAAGATTAGGAATTTGACTGTCTTAATTGTTTAGTAAATGTTCATGCTTGTTACATTTTGCTACAAATTAGATGCAGATATGAAGAGCCCTGTGTAGGTCTGCTCCCAGAAATATTGCCTCAATGCAAGTATATATACAGAGGAATTAAAAATTATTGGAAAGGCAATTAAAGAAGCCCAAGAGCAAATTAGTTTACTAAAAACATATTACCCATGTTCCCCTGCACAATTTCCCAAATGTGAAAATGTTTGTGGGGTTTTTGTTAACTGTACTGGCAATGTCCTTTTGAGAAAATGATTACTACAACACATTATGCTTTAACTAACATGGACAAAAGGGGAAAAAATAAAGACTCTTGGAATGCAGCAAATTATTTTTTAAAAGCTGATGTGTAATCCACCCTGAATTCAAGTAAAGACAGAAAGGTGTGATAAAGTTTAACATTTTCTAACAAGAAGAATGACCACTACCTAAATGGGAATAAAAGACAGTAAAAAATGAGGGTAGAAAGGTCACTTGATGGCCAGAGTAGGGGTATCCTGGCAAATGCTGGGCAGGATGTATGAAATGAAGTAGACTATTTAAAGCTCTTAAAGGAGTGGCAAGAACTGCTCTACATTTTCAAAAGTTAGTGCCAGCAAAAATACAAGAAACTCAACTGAAGACAATTGCCATGGTTATGGGGAGAGGTAACAAAGGGCTAAACCTAAGAAATGGTAACAAAACTAGAAAGGAAGGGATAAAATGAAAGCAGAAGACACCATGAGAGCACTCTAACATTTTACATCTTCCAGAATTATTTTATTTAATAAAGGCAGAAGTATCAGTTAATAGAAGCTTTTCAAAAAGAAAATCTAAGTTTTGTTAAAGCCCTAGGTTTATAAATGTAATCAATCTTTCCTAACTTTATCTCCTAAAGCAGGATAGACTGTTATATTGACCTGTTTGTATTATAAAATTAAGACAATAACTAGCTATCAGATGTCTGAATTAGAGACAAAAATGTGAGAATATTTCTATAGCCTGTGATTACTTCTGCTAGAGTGTACTGCAGAACATAATGGCCTGTTGGTAGTTTCCAAACCCAGGGTCAGTAATTGTATTTGAGGGATTAACTCTCCCTATCTTGCTTTTGCCTTCTGGTATTTCCTATATAACCAGCTCTACAAAAGCAAGGTAAAACAGAAGAGTCAAACTGTACATCTTTCTGCTTAATATTAAACTCTCCTGACTGTACCTATTTTTACTTACTTCCAGTACCACTTAGGTGATGGCGCTTAGAAGAATCTTAAAAGACTACTTTTAAAAATGTTCTTCTCTTCCCAATGTTAAACTTTAAAATGAAGATTTCACTAAAGATTTCAGTTACCCATGACTTAAGAAGAGAAAAGATACGTGTTTATTCTTGAACACCACAGAAAATATTATTATAAAAACACAGATCCTGGTAGAGTAGTAGTAATAGTAACAATGGTATTGGCTATATTTATTGAACACTGATAACGTACCAGACCCTGAGTCAGAGGTTTTTATTACATAGTTGCTAATATTCACAGCAACCTTTGTCATTAATGGTAATTTATCAGGAAAGACAGGGAATTGGTAAGGTACAAAACAACAAATGTTAATACAGGCTCTAAGTACAAGTCAGCAGATTTTAGCCATGGGTACATTGTTAGCTTGAAATGTATTCTAAATGTATGCAATTGTTTCTGGCAGAGAATCAATTTCTCTATTAGATTTTGAAAAGAACCCACAACCAGGAAATGATTTACTCTCCTAAAGATGTATAAATTTAAGCCTTCGTATTTTCAAAGATTAAGGAGCAAAATATTCTCCATCCATAGCTATAGGCAGAAGGAGTAACTACCATCTTTCCATTTACAGGAGACCAAATTTATAATAAACAGCATGATTATAAATAATCTGCCTTTCTTAATTTACATATAAAATTTGCCAAAAGGACAGAGAATACAAGGAGCACTGGAGAGATGGCAGTTTAGGTAATAAAAGGTCTCTATAAAATACCTTCCAGTTTCTGAAACATGTTGCTACTTCCTTACTTCACCGCCAGCCAAAACAATCTCACGTGTTTAACGTTAGTGTTTGAGTTTATATTCCAAACTCATTTTTCAAATAAAGAAATGAAACCTAGAGTGTTCAAGTACCACACAAGAGTCACACAAGTGGCAGCACCAGTCTCATAATTCTGGTTTCCTGGCCGCTATTGCACATGCTCATTACACTTCAACAGTCTGAAACAGACTGGAAAAATAATCTACTAATGGGAATGAGTTAAGTTATCATTTACTGTGCAATGACTTCTCAACAACACAAGTTAATAGCTCCCTTCCACTAATTCAGAGATCTGTAAAGCAGCAGAAACAACCATTGGTTAGAATACCCCTTTAAGATTAGACCCATGACAAAAGTTTTAGTACTAACTCACCTTAAAAAGCATATGCTTCTATTTCAAAAGTCATTTACTCTCATCCTATCCAGAAAGATGTGTTCAAGATTGTTTTCCATAGCACTCACATATACCAATAATGTACATGTAGCTAGAAAAATAAGCCAACTTCCTCCCTAGATGCAATTCTTTCTTGAGAGAGGTGGTTAAAGGTGTTAAAATTGTGCAGTGAGCAGTTGATAATTTACAACCAAGTACTGAGAAAAAGCGTGACACAGTTTAGATCGAAACAAGTTTGTCTGAGGGGAGGGAACTAAGGATAAATAAATCCACTTAACAGATTTTACTCTAGAGGAAGAAATTCTATCACGTTAAACACTGTATCTCCAGTTAACCTTCCAGAAAATGTTAACATGCCTCAACTAGTCACCCATCTAATATATTTGGAAAAAGTGCCAACCAACCATGAGCCACATGAAATGACATTCAACTATTCTTGGCTTCAAAAGCAGCAGTTTCATATGCCTTAACCTAAATGAGGGTTCCATCTCAAGAATAAAAGGTCACACGTATATGGAGTTCCTAATAAGACAATATTCAATATATTAACTAACTTTTTAACCCTCAAATATATGGTGATCATGAAAATGAATTTTATTCAGCCCTTTAAATCACACACACACACAAATCAAACAATATTGCTACCCATAGTGTCTCATTAATTCCTTGTAATGTACAAAATCCCTCATTCCAATACACACAGAGAACATTCAACAAGGAAAACTGAAAATATACCACCATACTTTAAAAATATATAACATTTGAGAACTTATTACAGAATTAGATTTCAAGTCCTTAAGTATCTAAAAAAAGACTTCATTAGAAAGTGACTTGAAAGATAGGCTTATCAGGAGGTATAGCTAAGATATAAAATTGTTTACGGCTCTGGAATTTGAATATTGTTTAAAGATCAAGGCAGCCCAGAATATAACCTACTCATAATCAGATGACTAAAATGACTTCACCTGTTCAAAGACCTGGATGACATCACAACCCTCTTGCGACACCCACCCACCCTTACCTTACACTCAACTCTACCGATTGTCAATATTATTTTCGCCCAAGAAAAAGTCAAGGCAGAAAAGACGCAACACCAATTTTTCTTTTACCTCTATACGATGTGGCAGAGTAAGAAGTAACAATTACACTTTATTTGCAATGGTGGCTCACAGCTTAAGCTCTAACATTCTAAGGCGAATTATTCAAGTAGTCAGAAGATCAATGAGTTCTCTCACAGATGACTCATTAAAAAAACATAAAAGAAGTGGCAGTGGAGTGCACCAAAATAGGCCAGGAATGTGACCGAAGGCGTCACAAAACCTCCTGTACAGAACATTACGTATTTGGGGGAAAGCGCGACAGAAATCCCAAAGTGACAGTTACAACTCTCAAAGCGCGGGGTGCCAGGCAGCCTGAACCCGACAGGCAGAGAAGGGCTCGCCCTCGCCGGACTCCCGCCCAGGTCCGGCCGCCGCGCCCTGTGCTCCTCGGCAGCAAACCGGCCGGCCAAAAGGCGGACCTCGAAACTGTTTTTCCCCTTGGTGCGCCAAGAGGGAAAGCGATCCCGGGAACTGGGGCCTGGCGGGGCCGGAAACCCAGCAGGAGCGGAGGAGGGGCGGGGGGCCGCGGGAGCGCGCGACGGGGAGGCCGTGAGGGCGCAAGCGGAGCCTGGCCGCCGCCTTTTACCGTTCCCGTCGCGGCCCTGGGGGCAGAGAGAGTCCCGCCGCCCTCGTCCCGGCCCGCAGACCCGCCTTACCTGGACTTGCCCACGCCGCTCTCGCCAATAATGAGGATCTTCAGGGTGGTCAGCACGTCCTCCTCCATCCTGACCCCGCGCCGCTCCGAGCCCAGCTGGCAGCCCCGGTTCGGCTCTCAACCCTTCACGAGAGCAATCTGCCCGCGCATGCGCCCCGCTCCGCGGCTGCCGCCCTCCTTTTACACCGGGTGTTTAAGTTGCTGAAGGTCCTAACGCCCCAGTTCCGCCTTGAGGAAGCTCTGCGACTGCGCAAACCCAGAGTCCCAGACGTCTTTCCGGAAGCTGGTACTCCCCTGCGCATGCGCAGAAGGGGAGCGCCGCGTGCGACTTCACCCACTTGCCAGGCCCTCCCTCCTACTCTGGTCAAATCGAACTGTCCCTCCGTGGTGTACCTGGGAAAGGACTGAGTCGGGGAAATATAACGCTCTTTTATTCCAGCAGCTGCTCATAGCAGCTGCATTGCAGTGGGAAACGCTTTGTGCTTGTATACAAATTATTTTAAATTGAGGTCCCAACTCTACCGTGTAACGCTTTACATATTTCCTCGCCTTCTGAGCCTGTTTCCCTTTTTCAGAGTGGGAGGCAATATTTCTTAGAATACTACCTTGGTAGAATTGTTATGAAATTAAATGACTTTATTTGTGAAGTCACTTTGTGAACTCAAGTGCTCTATGAAAGGCGTGATCAGGCTTACTCTTTTAGATCGAAGAGTACCCTTCACCAGTCAGTTCACTTTGGAAGGTAGAGAAAAATTTAGCGTAAATCAGGGGCATACAAAATAGTGTTCCAACTTCACACCGATATTAATCCTTTTAAGTGCTACACCACAGCTGCAGGAACTGTGTGCATATGCTTTGCCTTCTTCAATTCACTAAGTTGTAAATCTTGGTGAAGGTACTGTAAATCCGGGGAGAGGAAATCCTGGGGCAAAATATCTCTAAAAACCTACATCAGTCAAAGGAAGTAATAAAGTTTAAAACCTGTTTATTGCTTACAAACTGCAGTCCAGCCGGGTCACTCTCCCTCTGCTCCAGAAGAAGCATGCAAGCAAGCAAGCAAGCCCCTCCCCTTAAACTCTCAGATTCAGACACACCCTCGGTTGCCCAGGTAATTACCCATTGACATGGAGATGAACTTCTCTCCACCCCTGAAGACATGCAAATACACTAACGCCAGGCGAGATACTCTGGAAATGTTACAATTTTACCCACAGTACCAACCCTGATATATATATATAATACTTAGCAAAATACCTGGTACGTGGCAGATACTAAACAAATGTTAGTTCTTGCGTTTTATTTTCTTACACCTGCAGCCAATGTTAGATACAATAGATATTTGATTAAACACATACAAATAAAATTTAATAATTATATTAAAATAATTAAAATAAATGATTTTTTAAATATCTAGAAAAACTCTACAGATATCCAAATGGCCCCTTCCCCTCCTTCAGGTCTTTGTTTAAATGTGGCCTTCTTATCCCTACTACTGAAATTTGCAAATCCTTCCAACATTCCCTGTATCTCTTTGCATTATTTTTCTGCATAGCACTTACCACCCTCTGATAATACTATGTATTTTACTAATTTGTTCACTGTCTAATCTCCCCAAAGAGAAGGGAAGCTTCATGAAGGCAAAGATTTTTGTCTGTTTTATTTACTGTTATACCTTGTGTCTAGAGTAGTTTCTGGCATATTGTTTATATCCTGTGTCTAGAGTAGTGTCAAATAAATATTTGTTGAATGAATTCCATTCCTGAATTTTAAAAGTGATGTCAACCAGACAACCTCAATTTCCCATAAAATAACCCTCGAAACTGAAGAGTCCTGACTAAAGAGTCTTGCTTGACAAGCTACTCCACTTTGTGGGTGACTTCGTTTTGTGGGGGACGGGTCTCATCAGTGATGCCGGGGTTCTTGTTCACGAAGCTGACGAATGAGCTTCACAAACAGTCGAGGTAGGAGAGCAAGGTACAGGCTTTTATTTAGAGATAAAGTGAAAGAACAGAGATCCCAGCTTATGCCAGGAGGGGACAAGAGAGTCCTGGTGGTGCGTAGTCTAGGGGATTTATAGGCAGTTGAGAGACTAAGAGCTAGGGATGTGGATCCACCAGATGGTCTCTAAGTGTTTATTTTCAAAGAGACACTAAGTTTCTTACCGGTTTTTCAGACTATTTTGCGGAGTTAACATAAGAAATTTACTGCTTTGATCCTTTCTCAGAATAGCAGTTTCTTGGTTTGGGAGCATATCAGTCAAGGCTGCTTGTTTTGCTTTCAAGGTGAGCTGAGTTACTGACTTGATTAGGGCTGGAGGAGGAAGAGCAGCATCTGGGTAAAGTTAAAGATAAATTTGGCCTTTTAGCAGGCTAAAGTAAATTTTACAATAGTCTCATTTAATTGACACAAACAAGACATGGGCTATGCTGAGGTATTTTCTTATCTGGGGGATGTTCCAGGCCAGCTTATTCCTGGCTTTTTAGTTTTAACTAATCTTTACTGAAGAATGCTTATATTCCTAGTTTGATATTTTACTTTAGAGAATTAATGTGACTCTGTCTTTGTTTAATTGTTTAATATGGAGTTTTGGTAGGGGTCTTTTTCCGAAGGCCTTCACCCTACTCTGACTACACCCACGGTCCCTGTCTCATCAGGAGGAGGTTGCAAGAGTTGCAAAAGTTTGGCCAACACAGTTGCCGGGGCTGGCGGGATGCTCCCAGCTGGTGGAGAGTGGATGGCTCGCCCACCCGGTGGTCAGGAGTATAGCTCCACCAAGAAGGAACTGGTCCAAATAGTTGGTGAACAAGTTGGTTGTAGTGAAGGTCAGGTCATATCTGGGCCCGCTCTGCGCATGACCCTGCTGCTCTGCACATGGTCCGTTCTGCGCACAGCCCGGTCTGCGCACAGCCTGTTCCGCGCACGGCCCTTTCTGCACACGGCCTGCTCTGCACACAACCCCATTCCTGTGTATGAAAGGAGAATGAACTTGTACTTTGGGGTCTTCACCTGCCAGTGTGAGACCCCAGCATGCTGGCTACCCAATAAATGCTCTTGCTTTTGCATCCATGCGTATCCCGGTTTTTTGGAGGTCGATTGCACAGACCCAACAGAAACAACAATTGAGTCTATCCAGCCTAGTTTGGGCTGACATCAAGAGCTTATTTGTGAGGCTCATAGTATGAAGCTCTCCTGCTATGACGCAGTGATCCTCAAATTGTAATCCCCAGATGCCTAGAATTCCCTTTCAGGGGTTCTGCAAGATCAGACTATTTTCATAAATTATTTAAGATGTTATTTATCTTTTCCACTCTTGTCCTTTCAAGATAGTACAGTTGAGTTTTCCAGAAGCTTCATAAAGTGTGATAGCAAAATAGATTGAAGGCAGAGCCAGATAAGAGAACTGAGCTGTTTTCTATTAAGCCAAACATTAAAGAGATTTGCAAACATGTAAAATAATGCCACTCTTATCACTAATATTTTGTTTTAAAAGTTATTTTCATAAATATATTACCTAGTAGCTTCATAACATATTAACTACGTTTATTTGGTAATGAATTAATATGTATGTTTACTTTTTAAATTTCTAATAGAGTAAATATTAATAGATATAGCCACATAATAAGCTCCTTTGAGTCCTAAATCATTTTTAAGAGGATACAATAATTTTGTACAACCAGAAAGTCTGAGAACTGTTGCACTATGATATTCACACCAAGATTTAAACAAAACAGAACAAAAATAGAAAACTTTTTTGTTAATAATAGGCCTGGATTCACTGATGTTGTATGTAACATTGTTGACCTACTTCAGCAACATAATATTTTCTCAGTTTTCCTTTACCTCTTGGCTACTTCTCAGTTCTTTGTGAGATCCTCATATTTGTTCTTGCATCTTTTAAACATGTTTGGTTTTTTGGTTTTACCTGGTTTTACCCTCTTACTCTGCACACACACATTGTCTTCTTAGACTTACATGGCTTCTTCATCCCACTTGCATCTGGCTGAGATTTCTCTTCTGAGGTTCAGGCAAACATACAAAACTGCCAAGACATCCCCACATGGGTATGCCCAGGTGGAGACTGCCAATCTAAACACGACTGACAGTGGACTCATTATCTGCTCATCTGCAATAGCGTTTTCTCTTGATTTCCTTCTTAGAGAATGGCATTAACACCCATATAACTTTCTCTCCCTTACTCTGCAGACCCAAACATTTAGTCCTCACCGTTCTACCCATTAAACAGCTCTGAAATTTATCCACTTGTTTCATCTCTGACAACACTGCTGTGATTAGGCCATCATCATTATCTTTGCTGGATTCGCTACCCTATCAGCTGCCTAATTGGCCTTCCTCCCTCCATTCTCCTCCCCTCAGACTATTCTTTACACCACAGCCAAAGTGGTATTCCCGATATGCAAATCTAAGTCCTCCTGCCTTCCATAGCTTCTCCCCACCCTCACAAGTGGTTAGTATCTTACAATAAGCTCTGGTTATCCTCTCAACCTTATCTCTTGTTGCCCCATGCCTTGCCCACTGTGTTCCAGCCAAACTGCACTAGGTTCTTATTTCCAAAGAAGCATGTTATGCTTGTATCCAGGACCTCACACATGTTGTTATTTCTGCCTGGACTACTCTTCTGCCCCCTCCACACCCCAAACCTGCACATATTCACCCACGTTTGCTCAGAGAACTCCTACTCAGCTTCCATGGTCCACCTTTTGTATCCTCTTTTATGGGATGACTTCCCTGGACTCCCAGGTCAGCATTACATATTTGTGTGTGTATCTCCTATTTTGTGTTCTGATAGTGTCCTATGTATCTATTGTGTTATACACTTTACAGTAGTAAAATTGTGATTTAAATTGTTTACCTCCCTACCAGGATGTGTGCTTCTTGAATGCAGAAGTGATCAATGTCCTGTTCATTCTTCTGTTTCCAGCACCAGTACAATGCCTAGCATGAAGGAGCTGCTCAAAAAGAAAAAAAATGTTAATATAAAAACTCAGTAAATCTCAGGAATTTGGAACAATATAGTCTGTTTTTTATGTAGGTTGGGATGTGTCTTGCATCTCTGTCTTGAATATTCAGGGGGAAAAAAACCTCAGTAACTCAGTGCACAACCATTACCAGGTACTTCTAGAAAATAAACAAGCATTCATACACAGATAAGTCAAGGTAGGACTTTTTGTACAAAATGAGTGATACAGGCAAATGCTCCAGAAATGCAGACAAGAGTCTGACATGGTCACTGAAGCTTAGGACAACCAGAAATGGCTTCATGAAGGAAGCAGGACTTGAAAGGTACAGTTTAGGCAATTATAACAAAGGGGGACAACTCTTCAGGCAGAGTGAATTCAGTATAAACGAAGGCATTAGGATGATGGTTAAAATGCTATCTTTTAGATGGAAAAGTCTGGCTGTGTATAGGAAGTATAAGGGAAAGGTCAGGAATAAAGTCCTGGAGACCTCATAGGAAATTATGGGAAGATCTGAATGTGGTGGTGGCAGGGGGGCTGGGAATGAAGAG